ACCTATCGATTTTTAAATTCCAACGAACCATCAACGATCCTCGTTGATCGCTCTCCTTTCAACTGGTTCATCGGGACGCGTCCGTTTACGGATTAAACTGGGCCATTTTGTACACGTCAGCAGACCCGTGTACTATTCATTCTTATAAATACTACACGATCCAGACTCGCGACGATACTCAATTGATTCACGTTCCATAAATAGCAAATGTCCGTTTGCGTTTCCACGATATCATTGATTCAGACGGGAAAATAGGGAAGAATTATTTCTCGAGGTTATCCTCTTCGAAGTAATCCTGATTACACGTGTTTCATTTAATTCGATAGAATTTTTTAACGTTTTATAAATATCAACACTCCTGTCTTTTGAAATTTTTCATTACTACTTTGTAATTAATTATAAGTTCACGTATAAGAATTGCTTGTTGGATCACAAAGTCTCCAAAATTCCTTTTAATTTATTTCATAAATGAAAGTTATTATTGTTGAAACAATTTGCTTTAAACAGTGGTCTATTATTCTACGCGTCTATAAATACAATACATCTACATCTATCGATCAATCCGACAGTTCAGCAATTCTAGATTCAGTTAAACCAAATCACGAGTTCCGGTATACCGTTAACGCGCCTCTAATTGGCTCGAATTCACGAGAAAGTTACTTCCGGGTGAACCACGACGAATCAACAGTGAATATTCGTGTCACGTAGGCGCGAGACAATCGCGAACTGTCGGATGCTTTGCAAGGGTTGGCAAAATGCATAAAATATGTTTGATTCTATCAAATTTTTTATGCACAGCTCACTGAACTTTCCTCATTTTAATCTTAGTAATTGTCTCATTTTTATTTGCAAAAATACGCCATCTTTTAACCTTTGGATAATAGACCTCTGTGATAGCAAAAATTGCAATTTAATTTTAGATTTCTTTTCATTTTTGTTTTGTAAACTATAAACTATTTTATATGTACCACTATCAGAATATTTATATCAACTACAGTTTACTATAAACCGTAACAAAATTGCCGTTCTTGATCGTCGAAATTAATTTACAAATGTCAATTTTGCAATCGCGATGATCGGTACATTGCAAAACGGGTATACCGGTTGTCAGACTGTCAATTTATCGAATAATCCATCAGCTTTCAAGTTGAAATTGCATTAATGAAATTGCGTTTCGTTATAATGAAAAACCTTCCGCCGGGAAACCTCGAAAATATTCCGTGTATAATTCGACATTTTGCAAATTCGAAATTGCATTTTTATTTCAATTCCAAGGAACTAGCTCAACGACAATTTAATCTTCAAATGTAACATTGTTTGCGAATAATCTTTCCTCGATGAATGTTCCCTTTGTATAATCGCTTTTCAATTATTGATCGACCGATATGAATCTTTCATAAGGCAATAATTATTTTCAAATTCCCGCTAGTTTACAGTACTGAATCGTTTGATATCTCTCGACATAGATACATAAATGATTTTTGTTCCGTAATATAACATCTCTCTTTAAGGAAACTTCTTAATGCAAATAGTTTTAGCCTCGATCAAACGGGTTATTAATATTCCGTAATACAGGGAACGAACATTTGCAAATGCTCTGCGTAATTAATCATCATACGTTTCCATAATGTCCTATTTGAATGATTGTCCGCGTTTCTAGATTTTCGGCAATACGTCAACCGTGAAAATTCCATAACTCAAATATTCGTGTTCTATCGCTAAAGAAAATTTTCGATAATTGTTACATGGAGATGATATTTTTTCGTACTTAAAAACGATAGTGGTTATTGAATCAAAGTTCTGACCTAGGAATGACAAAGTATAATAAACCTTGGTGAGATGACGGAAAATTATCAAATTATCTGTACATTACACATTAATTCAGCGATGTAATTAATTGATTCCTCAGCTTGAAACTCGAGCGTTCAATTATTCGGTCTATCTCCTCCAATTACATGGAATAATCTTCTCATTTCGTGAGCAGCCTCTGATCATTAAGTAAAACGACATAATTATCCCAGTAAATCATTCATAACACGCCATTAGCCGGTCTTTCTAGCTCCTTTTGGCCAGGTATCGAGAGGACTGGTTTTCTCGTACCTTTCTTGCGATCTTCCATCTCCTCGTTGCTCTCGATTCTCTTTTTCCTCGCCCGATTATCTGTACACAGCGAAACAGTAACGACTCTCGTTCGTGCATATTTTCAACGATAACGTGGCCGTATGCACTCGATATCGACCGATTAAATTCCGCCGAGGTTCCCGTTTAATCGTCCACGCGAGTGTAAATTGTTAGCCGAGCAAACAGTACATTCTTATCGCGGGTACACGCGTAATAGATACGGTGGTGTTGGTTGGGTTTTCAATTCGTACCGTGCTCGAACGTGCTATTTCATTTTTGGTTAATTGAAACGAAACCTGATTAACAACGCACCGCATAATTTCGTTCTCTTCAGTTGATATGTTTCATTACCGGTGCAGTAATTGATTTACCTTCTTGCAAATTTCATTCTCGAACTGGCAGGAAGGATGATTAATTTTAATGGAACTCGTACCATTTGCGGGATCGCTGTCAAATTTGGAAAATTGACAGAAACGACGATGCGGAGGAGTAACGAATAAAATCCTGTCTCGTGTACGTCGAGGAAAACGAAATCATCTATGGTATCGCGTAATCTGTATGTCGCGTAAATCGTCAACCGTTTACAAACCGATGAATATTCAGGCATTCCGTTACATTATGTTAATCGCGACGAGAAGCGAACAGTCGGAGATCCATAAGTAGCTTGTCGAAGCGTTGTTCTACCGAGATAGGAACACGAAAACACGCGGCGACCGAGAAGCAATTTCTAATCGAAACTTTGCTCGCCTAAGTAATTTATGGAATACATTACACGCATCGCCGGAGAACGTTATTTCTACGAATTTAGTTTATGTTACGATACATGAAAGAACATGCAACAAGGCAGCTACTCGCGAGAGAAACGTGTTTCTAGACATCGGTAAATTGATAAATAATTAAGTGTAGGATCGTTGACAAACTCCTTTCCTCCTAACAAGTTTCATAGTCAATGTTTCAATTTTATTTCAACATTCCGATATCGATTATAATTATATTTTCTGGAATTTATGATTCTCGCAAAGGTTTCTATTTAGTCAGATAGTAACGTAAGGATTATTGTAACTATCCAATCGAAAAGTAATTAACGAAAATCCTCATTGTACTTGGAGTTTCTATGCAACAACAGTGCGCGTTCGCAGCCATTTCTGAGCGGCGACGAACCGTGAGAAAGGAAGCGGAATCGTTCCTCGCGAGCGAGTAGAATGGGAAAAACTCGTTAACACCGACAAGATTCGATGGTAAGCCTCTAACTGAGAAAGGCTTGTATACACGCTCTCATACAAAAAGTATTAAAAAAAAAAAAAGAAAAAAAGCAGAAGACAATTAGATCGATTAAAGAATAATTACGGTGAAAGTATATCAAGAAGTAGGAAATGAGAGAATTCTCTTTCCTAAAGTGCATATGGGGTTAAGTTAGGTTAAAAGGTAGAAATGGAGAGAAAGGGGTGAAGCAGGTTGATGGATTAGAACATTACACACCGGGACGTTAATCGCATTAGCAAGATCTTGCAAACCGTACCGCGATACACAATAATGCTTTCGTTCTGTCTTAATCGAGCTGGTTGCACACGTTCCTATCGATTTCCTGTTCCCTCTGAGGAGAATTGCGGGTTCCTGTTTAATACCTTAATGCGAATTTGATTAAACTACACTTCACTGATAATACGATAGTGTATTAACGATAAGTGATAAACAAGCGAGCTATGATTCGTGGAATTCAATGGGAATCACTTTCGCAAGATATAACGCTTGACGTTGAAGATCTATAAAATTTCAAGATTGAACAACCGAGAATTTTTAGATTTCTAACGTGTTTCCTTGATCTTTAAAATCGTGCAACGGTCGTTTAAGAAACTAGTCCGCTTTCGGGTGATTAGTAACCCCGGACGTGCGCCACCCCTTTTTCTCTCCTTCGAATAGACAGGAAGTTTATCAGCCTGCACCGAGCCGCGATAAATTCAAGTCGAGTCACTCTTTATCGCGGACCGATTATCGCGAGTTCCACTAGAGACTTCCTTCTCCATATTGCGCCAGAACGTGTAGAGAAATCGTAGAAATTAACCGTGCAAACACGCTTCTACCGCGTTAAAGGGTTGGTATCGTAGAAATTTTCAGTGACAGGAAATTGTTGAATTTCAATTCGAAGATAACGATAGTCAACAATGGCGATAGCAACGACGCATGTAACTCAATGAAATTTTCCACAAACGCCGCACAAAGGACTGTAATTAACAGAGCGAACGATCTCAACGAAAAAAAAAAAAAGGGTAGATTTCATTTTGCCTCCGTTTGTGTCCATTATGACCCTTTTTCTGTGCTGCGACGTGAAAAGTCACGTGTGTATGTCAGCGATAACCAAAAGGCTACAGAGCTTTCACTTGGAAGTATTTCTTTTTTTACTTTTAAATGTTTGTAGACTCTCTTTTGTGCTGCGTACAGAGAACGAGAATATTTGAATCGTGTTCTTCGTGAAATATGCAGGATCCCTGACCTGGCAACGCAATTACTTTCCTTCGTTAATTTAAATTAAATTAATTTCGATACACTATTATTTCGAAATGAACACGGATACATGAAATACGTCAATGGTGAATGTTATATAACTAGGAGAATGATTAATTATAAATCGTATAATATCGGGTAACGCCTCTGCACAGTGCGGTCGGAGCTTGACATTAATGACGTAAACACCCTTCGGTGTAGTTACTTAGGGGTGGAAACCGTTTTGATTCCATTTACGGTACATTAGTGCTCGCTTTGTCCCGTTCACCGAAGGGTCGCGAAACTGAAAAGACGGTTCGACAGCTTTTGTTACCGACTTCTTGAAAATTCATTTCTTTTTTTTTTTTCAATGCATCCGATGCTCCTAGGAAACTTACACCATTTCGCTTGATCAAAGAAAATGCAGAAATTCATTATGGCAATCCCATTTTTATCTCACAATTTAATTTTCACTTGTCCACCCTCTTTGTTAACAGCAGCGAAATTCACAACTGAATTTTACAACCCTCGCATCCTTTTATATTCGAAAACTCGTTAACTCTGTTTAATTAAAATGAGCTCCATTTGAATGTGCAAATGGGTCGCGAACGACCACGTTTCGTTCACAGAAACACCGAAACACTAGTCGGAAAAGCGTGGAAAAACTATCGGTCGACGGGAGTTGACCGTGCGCGTACTCGAAGCACGTGTCGCGATAACGCGGCGCGGACGAACAGACGAAAGAAGCGGGCTTGATAATCGGCTCGGACACGAAGCACCGGGAATCGCTTTGTGGCGACTATTTCCAGAGGCAACGAGGAGGTAGGAAGCCGTGGAAGAGAGGGAAACCGGTGGTAACAAGAGAGAGTACGAGAAAGAGAGAAGGGATGGCGCATAGGGTGGCCTGCGCGTTTCAAAAAGGGTGAGGGAAAACGTATCGGCTTGGAAAATATGTTGCTCGCAGAACGACGCGTATTAACGCACAACCCTTGTTTGTCCTTTTTTTTTCCATCTTTTCTTTCTTCTTTTTATCCTTGTCCTTCTAACAAGGGTACCCTTTATATTAACACGCTGGAAGATTACAAATTTTTAGTGAAATATATTTTCAAGTGTGAATTCTTTATAAGGAACGTTCCCTTCGACGCGATTAAAATTCATAATACACTGGGGGACGAAGATCACCCCTTGGGGACATTGTTTGGGAAAGCGAAACATAGGGCCAAAAGTGGCTGGTCCTGTTCGCTGTTTGGACGTCAATGAGAGTAATCGAAGCACTTGATTCGACGGATGGGGTGGTAATTTGCGAGGTTTGAAGGTTGTTAACGGGGGAGGTTTGCTAGGAATTGGGGTCGCAATTGGAACTCTACTTGTTAGCGACTGTGAGATTAAGCACCAATTTTTTTTATTAATTCTTATGTAGCATCCATGAATGAAATCGTAAAATACAAAAATAGAAATATTGTCTATTTTACAATTAATATTTCTTGATAAAATGATAACATCTTGGTGTTCTATTTTGTATTTTTCGACGAAATTTTATTCGCGAAAGATAGTCGCGATATTAACGTCGTGAACGAGATGTTTCGCAAATAGAAAAATATTCCAGGAAATATTCGTCGCTAAATTTCTGTCGAACAGTCGTCCAGTGGAACGGAAATGCAGAATGTTCGCTCGTTTCCTCGCTTCATACGGTTCGTACGCTCCAAGAAATCCCGCAAAATCGCGATACGGAAAAAGAAGAGCAAATAAGCGTGAAACATTAAGGGTGTCCGGATGGAAACTATCTATACACCAGTAAACGTTCAATTATTATAAAAGGTTATTTCATCTTTCCTTTGTACATATTCAGTCTTTCGTTGAATCTCCTCTTTCACCGTGAATCCTTTGATCTCGTTTTGAAAATATGGGTTGAAAATATGCTTCTTATCGAATTGCAATAATTTTAACATGTATGTATGAAATATGCATGTTGCAGTGGATTATTCGTTAACATGAAAGTATTAAAAGCGATAGGTAGATAAAATATTTCAAATTTATAGGGATACTGTTTGACAAGAATTTGTTGCTAAATATTTAGCGTAACGTTTGTACGACACGTCAAATACGATTTATACAAAAAGTCTACGAAACTGCGAGTTTCGTTGCAATCCCTGTTTGTCGATATTTTTTAGCTGTAAAAGCAAACATGGTCGGCAGCATTTTTTATTACATTAGGCAAACGAAGTTCGTAATATTTTAAGTGAAATCTCTCGGAAAGAAAATTTTACAGATGATTGAATATTTTGAAATTTTTATAAATGAATTAGGTATGTTAAATATTAATAGATTTCGTCTTTCCTTTATTGGAGGCAAGTATGAATGATTCTAAAATTTTTCTATCCATGAATAAAAAGTGAAATGGCTTTCGAGCGAGAAATATACCGCATTGCAAGTGGAAAAAAAGAACGAGAGAATGTGTGCAACGATGCGAAAGGCAAGTGGCACAAGACTACTTTATGCCTTATTTTCTGTGACTATTTTTGGCATAGGAAGTCAATTTTGAAACGCGTGCAAAATTCGTCAGAAAATTAATCAACGATCGACAATTACTTCATTTAAATAGAAATAATTTTCACGTAATTTAAAGAAAATAATTTTCTAAAAATTTGTCGGACAGGTAATTGTGTCAGTTTATTAATTAACAATTAAATTATTTTCTCTTTATAAATAAACAGTGATCTCCGGTTATAAAGTAGAATTTTACCTCTCGGATGAAATATGAAAACACAGATGATACAAACCGAGAATGTTTAATGAACGTTTGATTAATCGAAGTATCGATTCTCTTTTGTACACGAAAAAAGCAAGCGGAAGCTCTGCTAACAAAACAAACCGGATATACTGAATCATTAAAAAAGGAAGCAAATTACCAGAGCAACAATCAATATTTGCATTCCCCATTTGCGTAGCAGGAAACATTTGTTATTTATACGAGATTGTGTAAACACGTTGTAACGCAAACGATAATGTTATGAGTTGCATAATTACGTGAAAGATACCGTTGTTCAAAACTCGATCGAGCAAATTAAATTTTCAAACAGGTGTAAAAATTCTAACAGAATAGCTTCATTTAAGAGAGTGGGGCTCACTGGTATTGCAATTAAAAATATAATTGTATAATCAAAGAAAGAAAATAAGGAAGATATAATTTTTAATACTATTACTATTACACTTAGTTTTAATTTTTAATTTGTTGAATGCCATGGGTAACTGGTACCAGTTCTAGTTTTGGGGAAGGGGGATAAGAATTTGTTGAACGTAATCGTCGGGAGTCTCGTGTGGCGATCTTGTAAAGGGTTAATTAGCCGAGGCGGCGAGCGCGGGAAGATGGCAGAACGCGCGAAAGCAGATAAAAGCGAATTAACGTTCAGACATCGCTGGTAAATTCCTATCGGTCAGAGGAGAAAAAAATTCATCGAGGCCCGGCAATTTTCGTCACGAGAATTGGTAGTCGACGGGAGTAATTAGCTGGTCGAATTGCAGCTTCTCGCTTAAATTGCGCCGGACGAGAATTTATTGTCGAAAAGTGAATTAAACTCGCTCGAAGATTCGATTAAATTCGCCCGGGCTTCTTCGTGTACTTGCTCTCATTTATTCTTTTTTTTCTTTGCTTCGTTTAATTTCCTTTCGCGCTTGTTGCTTTGTTAAGAACAGAACGGGTTAAAAGAGGATGCGTCGAGGTTAAACATCTTATGTTTTGAGAGGGTTTTATTAGACCACTCGTGTTTGAAGTTGATCTAATAAATTCTTTCTTCTATCGCCAGGGTGAAATTATAATTGTCAAAGTGAAACTTCTTATATTTCCATAACAATCAGAAGCAAATTCATTGATTATTACTAGATCTAGGTTATATATCAAACTTGAAATAGATTCGTTTAAACAGATCTTGTCGATAAAATTCTTTTCCAATTTTGCCCATTGCTCAGCAAGCCAGTCAGGACATTTGAGATCCTTGAATTATGATCCTGTTCCCGTGTGCAGATCCCGAAACCGACCCATTGTCGCGCATCGAGGGAACGTCACGTTTCGGCGAAATCTCTGCTTGTCAGTTGTTCGACAAGCCAAACGACATTCCCATAATTTAACGAGGAGACGTTCTACCACAATCTAATTACCCATATATTTCATATTCTCTTAATTTATAATATAAAATACCTATACTGATCGATAATTAATAAAACACAGACTAAATCGCCGACACTCCGGACAGACCTTGTTAGCTGTGAGTTAAAGGAAGAGGAAAATATTTCCAAGTTCTTATTTCGTCAGCTTAGAAGTTTCAAATCACAGTGTAATATATAAAATTAAACCACTTGACTTGAATATCCTACTTTTACGACAAAAGAGAGATGACCATAGCTTCCGGCAATCCCTAAGCAACGTGTCTTCGAAGAAAACTACCCTCGTTTAACCGAATCGACTGTTCGCCTCGATTTCAGTCCGAGTAATCACAAATTTTTCGCTGACGCCCACGGGAACCGGTGTCGTATTATCGTCCAGGCGTCAATCGTAAACTAGGGGGGTTGCGATCTCTAGTAGACATTTCTGTCCCCCTCTTCTTCCGTGTCTTATTTTCCATGAAAACTCCACACTCCTTCGGTTATTCACCCCCGGACGTACGGTGTCCTCGATTCACTGGCGCCTGGAATTCCAAATTTCGTTGAGGATGGTCGTCGCCGACGCGTCTCGCCTTCTCGCGAACCGCATACTCGTAAATCGACTCTTAAACCGAGAAAGCTAAGAATCTAAAGAAAAAAATTGCTCGAAAATGTAGAGTGAAATCTGTTTCAACCCCATCTGTTCTTCGCTCGCCAAAAAAAAAGAGGCGGGTTTTCAATGGATGGTCTGAGAAATGGACGACTCGTATGCAACCCCCACGACACAGAATATCTTTATAAAAGGGGGGTTGACGCGATGGACGTGGCAAAACAAGGTCAACGACCCTGCACCCCTGTGCTCTATCACCCTTAGCAGTGTAACGGCCGGAAGCAAGATCGAAGCTCTTTTATCTTGGGGAGGAAAAAAGGGCCACGCGGAAGTTGACGCCCTCGAGCTCGCGATCCCTGCATCGTTGATCGAGTCGATACCTGCGAGGGGGATGAAAGTCGATGATATTTTTTTCATCTTTCGACGCGACGAGGATTACCTTTGTGGTACGGTGCGAGCCTAGGGTGACACGTTTTTATTCGCGGTTGAATTAACGCGTTCGCTATCACGATGGCCATTGAATAATTAAAAACTGAAGAAAGAAAGTGGTAGTGTTGATACGCGATCCTGTATCGATTAGCAAATGTGTGATTGTATCAAGTAATTAAATTTTTGTCCTTTGTATCAAAATACTGTTGAATCATACTACATCTTGGACTGAAGGATAACATCGATAAGATGCTGGAATGATTAAAAGTTTGTTAATTATCTGTTGACAATCGGCCGGCGCGTTCGCATTTGCGTTTCTGGTTTATCCTACTTTTCTAATGTAAACGCTTGCAGCAAACAAACATGTTTGCAACAGTTTCGCTAACTTTGGAAAGCGTTAACGAAATTGCTTCTACAGAAAGTTCGCCGTGAGTAATTGCTTCATTTCTGAATTAAAAATCAGGTAAAAGCAAAACGTGTATTACCCAAAAGAATTTTAGATTAATGTTTTTAGTTGTGCCTTCGAAGGATTGAAAATGGAGATTTTTAAAAGATAAAATTCCCAAAAACCTATGGGTATACGGGTAGATTTAGAATTTCAGAGTTATTTGCAGTGTTCTCCACGCGTCTGTTCGATGTTTTAACAAAGCTCTGTTAAATAATCCCAAAAACTGTAACAGCGAACAGTCCAAACTTCACGTTTCAATTTTCAACACGTTATCACCAAACAAAAATAAATACGAACAAATCCCAGTAACAATACTTCACGATATTCTACACTATTCTCCGACCTCTGAATATTCGAAATCTCTGAACGATCAGCGCGGAGCTTTGCGAAACTGTGAGTGGTATAAAATTAAAACGCGCATATATAATGTTTCGCATAAATGCATTTGGTGTCAACGAACCGAGAACCAGTGTCGTGAAATGAAAATTTGTTTTGCTCTCGGTGTAACTTGTTTTATTCGCCTGAACGATCAAATTTATGCATGGATAAATAAAACATTGTATAAAAAGGGACACTGGAATTTCAAGTTGTAACGATACAAATGACCAAGTGAAAACGGACACGTTCAGGCTCTAATTATAATTAACATCCTATTATTAAGAATAATTAATTTTCAAATTTAAGCTTTCACCTTTCGATATCAGATAATTAATCTGTTAACACGTTGATTGCTTCTGTAATTGACGCCATGTAATTATAAATAAAACAAGGAACTTCTTGGGCGACCAGCATATTTACTGACACTCAAGACGATAACTTATTAAAATATACCATAATCAGATGCGATCGTTTATTTGTCGTGGTAATCAGCGTGTTAAGTAAAATGTGTCACCTTAGTCTCGAGCCGAGTAGAGTTTCCCAAGGAAGCAGTTACTTGTCAACTTGTCACAGGCCTGCACTGTGGAAACCGTATGTCTGACGAACTATATTCCGTCGGTTTGTCGCGTGATACGAGGCGTTTTCTCTACTTCTTCGCAAAAGAAGGATGAAAATATTTCCGTTGCTGCACAACTCAGATCTCTATACGTACGTTTCCGTGATTGTGCGCGTGAAATAAAGCTCCGTGCACAATCGAGGACAATATTAGAAGCGAGATTGAATTCAGAATCCGAGAGATCGAATCATAATTTACTTGAAAGCAACAGCGAAACGTGAGATGAATGTTTTCAAGTTTCGAGAGCTATTTCAAAATGTACCTCTAATCGTCTAGAAGATATTATGTAAAATATCATTTCCCGAAGCTTATAAATTCACGAAATCAGAGATAAATCATTTGATTTTTGAGTAAAACAATTATTGACCAGACGTTAAAGATGCAGGTTGAATGAAATTTCTGCTAGACGCTTCACGATTTACTTCTGAAGCGATTCGAGGCGAATGAATAGGAGAACATGCGATGAATACATATTCAAAGTTACGCGAATAGCTGTCTCCTGTTTCGAGGAACCATCAAAGGGATACGAAGGATCTAGGTTGAAGCTTAATTGTTTCAGAAATTCGCCTAATTTATGCATATGAAATATTTTGCTCGACTCCCTTGAAAAATTACCTTAATTACACGTTTTACATGTTAATTATAGAACAGTTTGGAAGACTGAATTCATTGGCAAATGATTCGATTAATAAATTAAGTGATCGATTGATGGTTTCCAAAAATCTTTATAAAATGGAGAAAGTTTATTTAGTTTAGCGTTTGTTAGATTGTGAACGGTGCTTTAGTTGACGAGGAGGCGAACAACGGGAAGTCCTTGCGATAAGGGGTCCCAAGGCGACTCCTTTTCCGCGTTCCGCTCCGATTTCGTGCCCCGGATACGTCGAGCGAAAAATACAGGTTGCAACGCGTAATTCGCGCTCACTATCGGGATAGTTAATTAAAGACTGATTAAGGGCGACGCCTTATAGGAAGTACATGTCGTATAGACACTATCAACTTTGCATAAATTAAGCCACGGTCAGGCTTCCTTTATTAGACTCGTCACGTAAATTCTCTGATAGCGATTTCTAGTACCAAACTATTATTAAGCATAATAAAATTGCGAATAGTTTGTCACGATTCGTGACTAATTAATTTTCCGACGAATTAGATAATTAGAGTTGTGATATTGAATTTCTTGGATAATTAGTAATATCGTAATTAAAGAAAAAAGCTTGTTTCGTTAAAATATCGAATCGAATTTCTTTATAGCGTTACACCTGCCAAGAAATTTTTCTTCTCCAAAGATCTTTTACGTTGGAATAAGAACTCTATTCGAGTCACGTTCGAATCGCAGCTGTGTAATTAATAATCTTCAGTCGAGTCGATCTATCAGTGACCGATTCGACCCCGATACCACGTCGAACTTACATCGGATAATCGATACACCTTGTCCACGAAGTGGAAAGAATTGGGTCCAGATTGCAACGACGATAAAAAATGGAGCTGTGCACACGAGTGCACGGGGGCTGTTTTAACCCTTTACCGGTCTAGTGTCAAGGCAAATTCGAGGCCGATCTGATTACCAAAGGTGACAAATGATAAAGACATATCCTGAAGATAACTCTTTAATTTTTAAAATTTCAAGTTTCAATTGCAAATAAATATTAAATTCTATCGCTATATTTATCAAACTACAACGACGAAGCTGGTTTCATGAAAAGCCTTTAATAAATTACCGAATAAATTCACGTCAGGCTTGCAATTTCCGATGCAGTTCTTCTTTTTTTACTCGTCTCATCTTCTACTTTACTTTAATTCATTTCGACAATGAAATATGCGCAAGTTTATCTAGGTAGGATAATTCATCTTTAAGAATATCCTCGAGTCATTAAAGCGACCTTAATCGACGATCCTTCGTCACGGAACGATTCCCAAGCGTACGTTTCAGGAATTTTGAACAGACCAATTTTGTTACTTATTTTAATAATCTTTGGTGCCATTTTTGGACCATTTGCTTCGCGGTTACGTCTATGATCGTCAGTTTCCCGTGGAAAATATTTTCGCCGCGTGTAAACGATTCTCGGGACGAAAAACGGTTATTTTTCTGGTGAAACCGATAAAAGAGGGGAAATGTGGTTCGAAGGGACAGCGGATAAGCGTTTTATGGGACACCAAACCCGTCGTTGATCCACGGACAGAGCCTAAATTTGGCGTTTCGGTGGTGAAATTCCTTTATCGAGGTAAAAAGAGTCGTGGCATCGGGTGCCCGGGACATTTCGTTCATCGAGAAACAGAGGGTACATCGATTCGTGAATAAACGCTGTTTCAACCCCTTTTGCAAGGTATTTTTTCCTTTCATTAGATTTTGTAAAAGTCTGTTCGTAAAATGAAAATTTTAATTCCTTTCTCGACATTTTATCTTTCTCCTTTCTTATATAATATAATTATAAAATTTTAAACACCCAGTTATCGTATCTTCCATTTTTTAAAATCCATAAAAACGTAGCCTTTTGTTAGGATTTTCTCGCAATATGAAAAACCATTGAAACTTCTAAGCTCTTCAGTGAATTTCTTTCGTTTAACGAGCAGATGGCCGCAAATCCGATTTAACTCGGAAACTTCTCCAAGCCAGGGGATTGCAATTTATTTTGCAATCGTACGCTTTCGAATCACTGTTTAATCAAGTCGATACCGTGATACTTTAATTCCCATGGAAATACGTTTCGAACGATCATTTTAAAAGTTTTTGTTTGGGAACGTAAACGATGCAATGGTAATATCAAAGTAAATGCAATAATTTGCCATCAAGAATTTGAGTGTTTTAAAAAATCATATGAAAACTGACCGACAGTTTCTTATCTCCTGAGCAAACATGAAATTTTCAATTCCAATCAATTTTAATCGCATCGCCTTCCAGCAGAAACTTATCGCGTTTCAATCATGATCTTCTCGCGAAGCGCGGAGCCGTATAATCCGCGCGCTTCGATTCGAATTCCACGGATCAAGCCTTAATACCCTCGCACTTCATCAAATCCCGCAAAACCTGTCGCAGATCAGGCTTCTTTTTTACAAAATAAACACCGATTCCACACAAATGCAGCCATTTAGTAAACCTTCACACTTACGCGAAGCTTGAAAATTTTCTTTGAAATCATCCATCATAAAAGAACATCAACTTCACACGGATTAAGCTGTTTGATAAACGTTCACGTTGATGCAAAGCTTTGAGATTGTCTTGCGAAAGCGAGAAATTTCATTTGAGCACATTGCAATCATTCACAATAAAGGAGCACTAATTTCACATAAATTAAGCCTTTAATTCATTTCAGCTAGCCGTTCTCGTTTCAAATTTATCAGAGTAAATAGAAAATTAATTGCTCAGAAATGAATAATAAGCTGAGATGAATTAATGACTATACAAGCTTTAAAAGCACCATAAAAACTACGTTCGAGAACGAAGAAACTCGCGTTTAATTTGCATGCTCTCCCACAAAATTACCCAAGATTATCCCTTTTGTCTCGAGGATAACACCAGGAAAGGTAATCGCGGTACGATAAGAAGGGTAGACGCGCGAAAAATTGAAGGAGCGTTCTCGCGGAGGTGCGCGAGGTACGACTTGGACAGTTCGGGGAAACTGTCGGCACTGTGACTCGCGTCGAGGGGTTTTCTACCCCCTAGTACCGCCACCTGAAGCCGCAGGGGGGTCCTTCGGGAAGCGATCGGTTGTGTGGGTCGTATACGAGCCGACGCACACGGTTGCCTCCAGGAGCCGAAAGGCGTTTCCATGGCGATCGTAGCGCGCGTGCCGTGTTCGTCGACGCCGGTGCATGCGCATCCCCGAGCGTATTTACACTGGCAACAGGTTTTGCCTTGTAGCCCTGGAACACAGAGCTGGGATTCCCCGGATATGGACGATCGAGATCGATCGATCACCAGCAGCATTCGCGGAAATCCTCCCGGGCCGAACGGTCTTACCCTCCGCAAATTTTCAACGACGAGCGCGCGACTGCTCTTCAAATCCATTTGTTATTTCATTTAGATTCGATTGATACCCGGACGATTTTCACTAGAAACACAGAGATAACATAGAAAAATATCCTATCGATTGATCATTCGCTTTATCATATTCTTATTCGTTTAAAAAGAATTGAAATTTTGGAACATTGACAAATTTGGAGGTAAAATTCTCCATTTGTCGAAGGATACCGTAACAGGTAAGAAACGAGGCGGGGTGGGCGATGTCGAACCCTCGGGGCGTCTTCGTGACCGTGTCTTCGGGGAATAAACGAGGTCGAGGGGCTCGACGAGGATCGACCTTCGCGTTACAAGAATGCACCGTACCTCTCGATAGCGACGAAGCCGATTCCTCCTTGGCCTTGCGATTTATCGTCGCTCGATCGCCGCGACTTCGACCTCGTTATCACGATACACCGAGTTCATCTTCGTGCACGGACCATCGGTCCATTGATCGCGAAGAATAGACGATGAGAACGAACGAAAGATGGTTCGGTAAGCTATGAATCATCCCCGACGGAGATTTTGTGCATTCTGACGTGTGCATCTTGTATGCATTCGAGAATACAATGCTTTGAAACTTTGAAACGATGAAGGAAAATTCAAACTTTGCAGAGATGATTTGGAATTGTTTAAATTGATCTTCTAAAATTAGCATTGCTTATTGTTGAAGTGTACGAGAATCCGAAAATGCCAGCTCGGGTACGAATTGCTCTGGTAATAATAGAATCACAAACAGTTTATGATGTTTATTTGTTCATTTGCAAGGAAATATTCGCTTCGACTGTTGAGGAAAATTAGGTAGATTGAAGCAGAGATACGTCAGCGTAAATTTCAATTACCGAAATTACCTGCGCTCATGTT